AGCCTGGCACTTTGAACTCGAATTTAAAGCCTCCAAATTGTAAGAATAAACTCCTGTTGGTTAAGGCCATCTCATTTGTGGTATATTTCTTGTCAGAGCAGCACTAGGTAACCAGAACAGTGGTAAATTAAAAAATTAAAAGTGGTATATCTACTAAGTCAATATAATCATCTCAAAAATGTAGAAAAAGCTCTTATCAAAATTCAACTCTAATTCATGATAAAAAGAACTGGTAGAACACTAGAAAAAGGTCATTATTAGAAACCTATAACTAACATATTTCATAGTGAAATACTGCTTTCTGCTAAGGCTAGGATCAAGGCAAAGATATGCACACTCATCACTTCTATTCACTACTGCATCGTAGATCATAGACATTGCAATAAGCAATAATATAAAGTAAAAGGCCAATTTATTGTAAAGGAAAAAAATTAAAATTGCTTTATTTATAGACAACATGATTTTCTAGTGTAAAATTCTACAAATGTACCAAAAAGAAAAAAACCACTATATCTAAGAAGTAATTTTAGTAAAGTCACCTGATAAAATGTCAATATATGAAAATCAATTGCAATTTTAAAGTGGTAAATAATAATCAGAGAAAGAAATAAGTAATAGTATACAAAATAGCATTTGAAAAGTAAAATAGTTAGGGATAAATTTTAAAAAGATGTTCAAGACCTATGTGCTGAAAATTATAAAACAGTATGTAGAAAATTGTATATATCATTCTCATAGATTGGAAAACTCAAAAGTTATTTTAATTGTTGCCATATTGATCTATAGAGTCACTGCAATCCTGATCAAAATCTTAGTAGGCTTTTTAAAATAGAAATGACAATAAATAAAAAAAAAACAAACTCACTGCCATCAAGTCAATTCAGAAATGACAAAACTGACTCTTAAATGTATATGGGAAGGTAAAGAACCTACAATACCCGAATCAATTTCTAAAAGGAAGAACAAATTTAAGAAGATTTGCATTATCTGATATGAAGGCTTATTATAATTTTATAGTAATCAAGACAGTAAGGTATTTGACACAATGATAAATATGTGGAACATGACTCTGGCACAGCCCATGAGTGTTTGGTAGCTTCCTTACTTTCTAGCCCGACCTAAATCTGCAAAAAAAAAAAAATTGAGAAATGGACCCACACACATATACAGACAATTGATTTTACAAATTGCTGCCAAGGTAATTCAAAGGAGAAAGCACAATTTTTCCAACAGATGCTTTAGGTATTTCCTTAGGGCCACACAAAAGGTATACAGAAGCCAAGATTAAAACTAGATCTCTGACTGTTAGTATAATGTTCTTTATGACAACTATCAAACATGAAAAAGTCCAACAGAAATCTAACCCACATTTTTATTTTAGCTTTTTAAACTTGTGCCTGTATCATTGTTACTCTTTGTTCTCCTTTTTTTATATGAAGATTTTTTTATCACATTTTACATATACATATATATATACATATGTATATATATAT